TCTTCGGGATTCTGGACCCACTCAGCACATTTAGACCAGTCCAGCTTCGGCTCAGCATGAAGGCAGACTCTTCGGCAGACTCGAAATCCGTTTCTGAAACCCATCTCATATTCCTCTTGGGTATAGACACGGACCTTGAGTGAAGCCTCAGCATCAGCCAGCTTCTTCTGGGTCTCCTCCAAGTCTTCCTTGGATTTCTTCAGCTCATCAGCGACTTTGGAGGAGGAACCCTTCAGCTCATTCAGCTCTTGCTGAATTTGGAAAGCCTTTGTCTGAGCTTGGGCCACTTCAACTTTCTGGATCAGCAGTTGATCCTCAGCCTCTTGGAATTTAGCTCTTTGAGCTTCAGCAGCAGCAGCAGCCTCTGAGAGTTGGACGTCTTTGGCCAAGAGCAACTCTTCAGCAGCCATTCGGCTGGCTTCAAGAGCCTCTAGACGCTGCTGCACTTCAGCTTGTGCAGCAGTTCCTTGAATTCGGCTCTCAATAGCAGCCTTGAACTTGGAGACGTCCACTCCCATATGCTCCTGGAGGAATTTTTCCCCTTCCATCAGTGGGGGAAAAACCTCCATCTCCATAGCATCGCAGAAGGTTTTCAGAGCTTCGGCAGCTTTTTTACCGTACTCCTCAACCTCCTGCTGCTTCTCTTCAGCTGCTGCTTGCTTCAGCTTAGCAAGCTTAACTTCCTCTTCAGCCACCTTCCTTTCGTGCACAGCAGCGTCCACCCTATCTTGTAGGGAATCTATCAGCTCTACAGTGAGAGTCTGATTGTGCACGAACTGAAAACAGGGGCACAAGTTAAAAAAGTAAAAAATAATAGCTGAAAGGTTGAGTTCAGAAAGAAATCAAGGCAAGGAAAATTACCTGCATCATCAGCAGTTGGTTAGACCTGGCTGGGTCAGGAACTGATCTACTGGATTCGCCCATCCCAGCAGTGGCCTTCAGCGACCAGATCCTTGCCCTGTCTACTTCGGACATGCCAGCAAAATTGCCGAAGTAGGCTGCAGCTCCTTCTCGGTTTTGACCCCATATGAGGTCCCAGATGTGATCTGGGATTGGAATTCGGGGGGCCGAGAAACCCATTTCTCCAGAATGCAGAGTCTGGAAAGAAGGGAAGGACGACGATGGAGCTTGATTAGCTTTGGTTGTCTCAGCATCGTCCTTCTCAGAGGAGTCAAGTACTATGACCTCCTCTTCTTCAGGGGTGAGGACGAAAGCCTCAACCTCTCTTGCGATATCTGCCGTGAAGCCTTCAGCACTTGACATCACGGCATCTTTATTTCCGTGCTCAGCAGCACTCTCCTTGATTTCTTCTTGGACCCCTCCCTTAGGTCCGGGAGTTCTCTGATCCACCTCCATCTCAGGAGGTGGTGGAGGGGTCTTTTGAGGAGATTGGGGTGTTGGCTGGGGAACCCTCGGCGATCCATTGCCTTCCTCAGGTTCCCTTATTGCGACGCCGATGGTCATCGGCCTCTGCTGAAAATCATGAGGGCCGATGATGGCCATCCTTCGGCGCCTTTTCAGAAGGGGCTGCTCGTCCATATCTGAATCTGAAGACTCTTGTATTTGATCTTCGGGACGAACAGGAGCTTTGCCTTCTCTGTGTCTGTTACTCTCTTCAGACTGTAACAGACAGGGGGGAAGAAGAGTGTGAGTAAAAAAAAAAAAAAAGAAAAAAGAAAAAAGTTGTCTAAAAAACTCACCGAGGTCTTCAGCAAAGCCTCGTCTTCTTCAGCTGCTCTAGCTGCAGCTTCGGCTTCAGCAGCTCTGGAGGACCCTTCTCCTCCTTCACAAGCCTCAAGTACCCGTGCAACCTCTTCGGCTGTGCGGGCAGCTTCAGCTTCTTCTTCCAGCAGCTGAAACAAGGGATCCCTCTTCTCCCACCAAGGCTTCTGCCTCTGATACAGAGCAACAGCCTCAATTTGGAAGTGGGAAGAGTCTAGGTGAACTTCTCGGCGCCTTGGTTCAGTGATAGGGGGAGCCCGATCAGTTACGACTCGTTCTCGGTTGACGCCAAGGCGAGCGTAATCAATGCCGACGTTGGTCTCGTCCCGTTCTGAAAAAGAAAAGGGGAGAAGTCAATTCAGTTAGTTCGGCACATCACAAGAAAGCAAAATGAAAGAAGAAAAGAGATAATTAAAAGGCCTCGGCCCCAGCCGAAGAAGATTACCATCCCTAAACTTTCGGCTGAGGCCGACAGCTGCCAGCATATTCTCTTGGAAAACATAGTGCGTATCGGGGAGCCAAGTCTCCGGGATATGCTGCATTCGGCCGCTGCCTCCCCGGTTCGGCAGCTTGCCGAAGATGTTCTGCTGATTAAGGTTCGGGTCTGGCCCGCTATCTTCGGGAGGACCTAAACTTCCCATATCAGGATCCGGCTCGGCAAGATACCGGGGAGCGCTGAAAACATAAGGATGGCTCGGCTCCGTGGGCGCCCTAACCCAAATCCATTGACCTCTCCAGTCCTTGTCTGAAGAGTCGTTCGGCCACATGGTTAGGAACGGGGGCCGAGACTCAATCCGATACCACCCAGAACCATGGCTTCCGTGCCCACTCTGAATATTTGGCACTAGCCGATGGAGCTTTCTGAAGCAGTGCAGGTTCGGCACGTATCTGAAGAATTTGCAGACCCATAAGTACGTCATTACCCTTCGGATGCTGGTGGGGGTCAGCTGGCACAGGGAAATGTTGTAATGGATCAGCAAGTCTCGAACGAATACGTCCAAAGGGAACCTCAGCCCATACTGAAGCTGTCTCGTGTACACCCCCACATACCCCGGGGGTGGACGATGGATTCTATCGGATGCTGAGGGCATTCGGCACCAATATCCATCAGCTTCAAAAATGCCGTAGTGCAACTCAATTTGCTCAGCAAATCGATATTGATCGGCGTTCTCTACCCACCATGAGTAGGGACGGTTCTTTATCATGGCCGAAGCTACTTCGGCATCCTCCCACTCTGAAAACCCTGGGAGGATATCCCAAAGGACAGCGGGAACTTCATCATCCCGTCCTGAAGCTCTCACCCCCTCAGCCCTCTGAGGAGGAGCCGAAGAAATGGGAGTCGCCCTAACCCCTTCAGCAGGGTCAGACTCTGTCCTTCGTCCATTCCAGGTCCCAATCCTGACCCTGGGATCGGGGATTAGCCTTGCTCTTCTTGGAGCACGGGCTCCACCTCTAACTCCCCTCACCATTGACGAATTTCGAAGGAAAAAGTCGAAAAAGGGGAAAGAGTGCAAAGTCGAAGAAAGATGAAATAAAATCAAAGGAATTTACCTTGATCTGAAGCAAAAGCCGCCGATTTACGAATTGGTAGTGACAAGTCTCAGCTTCTAAGCTTAATGCTCGGGGAATTTGCGAAGTTTTGATGCGGGCTCTTGAGCGTTCTTGAGAATTCTGGGTTTGTGTTGATGAGTGAGTGGGGAGAGAAGACGCGCCTCTATTTATATCTCCAGAAATGGGAATTCAAGGAGTCTGCGTTTCAATTTCTCTCAAGCACCCCACTAAGTAACCGTTAAACACACGACCTTGCAGTTAAATCGCCCACTACCCGTCCAACTTCCGCAATTATCCACATTAACTGTTGTTATCTCATTAATCATGGGTTAATTACGGTTCAAATTCACATTTTTGGATTAACAAATCATTCACTTCCCTCCTTTTCTGATTAAATCAAACCCGACCCGTCATCCTTCCAAATCGGGTCTGGGGGGCAAGTTGTTTGGGTCCAATTTAGTCCAATTGGGCCTGGTCACTGAATGATCCAATTAAAAGCCCAAGGTTAAGGTTCAACTCTCCAAATGTGCTAAAGTCAAAAATCAACATCCTCAAAGCCATGTCAAGGTCAGTCAACGGCCCAATCAGCTTGGCCCAGCCCAACTGACTTCCGGGCCCAATCCGCCTCCTTCATTAGCCAAGGTATAAAAGCCAACAATTTGGTCAATTCTTGGTAAGACAAAAAAGCCTCAAGCAACTAAACTCTTGCACAGCTTTCTCTCTCTAATATACTGACTTAAGCATCGGAGGGGCCTTCCTCGGCGTCCCCCCCGAGGCTAGTTTACGTGTATTTGTTGTGCAGGAAACCCTCGGCTCCTGCGTCGTTCGGACCGAGACCAAGTTCCCTCAAGATAAAAGGATCTTCCGAGATTCGATTGTTTTCATCCGAAACACACTGTTAGATTATTGTCAGACATTTTTTTCTTCTTGTTTTTTTGGTGGAAAATTATGGTTTAAAATGTTGTTAGATTTTGAATAATTTAGCTTTGTTTTGTTTAGATATTGAATTGATGAAAGAAAGGATTGCAAAGTTATTAGTAATAGACTAATAACTTTGCAAACCTTATTGATAATTGAGAGAGGTACAAACTAAGTGACTAATAACTTATTAGTCTATTACACTGATATACTTACTATTCTTGATAATTGAGAGAGGTACAAACTAAGTGACTATAGTTCTTATGTTCAACCTTGTTGGCTTATTGATGCATTATTAGCAATGTCACTCGTTGTATGTGTTAATACGTCACACTATCAGCTAATGGTGTGTCTGGTTAAGTGTTATAAATATATTCTCCTTATCTGATCTTATTTAAATAAGTTTCAATATGAGTAATTTTATACTCCATATTGCTTAGAAATTCATGAATAAAACTATCTTTAACTGTTTTACATCATTATATATAACAAAAGTAAGTGCGGATAAAAGCTAACAAGTTTTGATAAGTGTCAGAAGAACAAGAGTTTCAAGTTTAATCAGTTGATAACTAAGATAATTTCTAGTAAATTCACATCAATATATTTACGTTTAGGTAAGTTCATTTTAGTTCAGATTAATAAAAATTGCATGAATAAAACCTCCCTAACTTTATATTAAGCATTATGGAGTAATATTAATTGACCAAAGGTTATCACTTGACTAATCATGTTAGATAGACCGTTTTACAAAAAGTTCCCGTTACATGAGAACTGGGGTTATTTCACATTATTTTCACATCTTGCTCATCAATGGGCCGACACACTATTAAATAAATAAGGCCCAAAGATTAAGCGCGGCAAATAACTGAAAGTCTGGAAAGTACAAGAATATCCTACAAATTTCTCTGTTCTTCTTAACCTTACCTCTGTTTTCCACTTTTCCTCCATACTAGAAGCTGTTAGAATGATCCGATTAATTCAAAGTAATTTCCAGACACTTCATACCATCATCTATAAATATCACTTTCTCTTCTCTATCATCAACAAAACACAGAAATTTGCAGCATTCAAGAATTCTCATAAATTCTCAATACTCTAAATCAAATATTCAAATTATTTTCTAGTAATTACACAAATCAATTGATATTACAATGTCGCTAATTCCAAGCTTCTTCGGAAACCGACGCAGCAGCATCGCCGATCCCTTTTCCCTCAATGTCTGGGAACCCTTCCAGTCTCTCACCACCGACCGCGAAACCGCTGCTTTCGCCAACGCTCGAATTGACTGGAAGGAGACACCCGAGGCGCACGTGTTCAAAGCCGATCTTCCTGGTGTTAAGAAGGAAGAGGTGAAGGTTGAGGTGGAAGACGGGAAAGTGCTCCAGATCAGTGGAGAGAGAAACAAGGAGCAAGAGGAGAAGAATGACAAGTGGCACCGTGTCGAGCGGAGTTCTGGAAAGTTCTTAAGGAGGTTCAGGCTGCCGGAGGATGCGAAGATGGAGGAGATCAAGGCTAACATGGAGAATGGTGTTCTTACTGTCACTGTTCCCAAAATGGAGGTTAAGAAACCTCAAGTTAAGTCTATTGACATCTCTGCTGCTTAAATGGGGGCTTAATCAAGATTATTGTGATGCGATGATGAGTGTTTAGTTATATAATCTTCTTTTAATTGTGTGTTTTCTTACAGTCTTTTCAAATAAATGTGTACATCGGTTGTTTGTAAGGAGCTATCAATATAATGAAGAAATAAAATTGGTTTGATTTTAAAATTGTTACCTTGTTAAACCTTTTACATCTTGAGTTTACTATCCAATACTGGACACACCAATCAAAGGGGTATTAGGTTATCTCGAAATTTGTAGGTCTATGTTACAAAATAGATAGTATTGATACCTCAAAAATGGAGTATTATTAGAAAAAAATATTGAGAATCTAATCAATTTGTAATCAAACAATTTTTTTAAGCATGAAAATGATGTTGAACATTTCAACTGGTTCATTTTTCAAGTGCAGCAAAATAGCTTGTTTAAGCTCAGGGTACAAATCAAACCATACTTGATCTCCAAAGTGATGTGAAACCAAGACTTCATTGCCAGCCCTTATAGCTTTGGATATGGCTTCAGCCCTAACTTCTACATCCTTAACTTCGCTTGCAGCGTCCTCAACAATTGTCTCTATTTTTTCAATTGTAAATGATCCTTCTTCAATAACAATTTTCTGGACTTCTTCTTTTGAGGGAAAATGTAATGGCATTGCAAACGAGTGTGCTTTCTCTTTCGTGATTAGTCCCTAGTATAAACACAATGCAATAGATTAACACGAGTATGTAATGTCAATTTCTAGTTTAACGTACGATAGTGATTTTTGGTTACATTTGTGGATAAAAGAATAATAATTGCAATACACAAATGTGCACATATATCACACATAGGAGGCATTGAGATCATTAATTTTGACAAAAGTATAAAATATTGTCAGTGCAAATTGCAGTTATTACTTTGACATAGAGTTATGTTACCTTGGAAACTAGATTAGTTATGGCTTGAGAGAGGACTTTGGTCGACCAATGTAGACGAGGTTCCATAGATGAGGTTCCAAGAACTGCTAGTATCATGTGCCCATTGGTTACAACTTCATTGGAACGACACTTGAGAAACAACCTAAGATCTTGTTGAAATTGAGCACGAAAAGCTTTCACTACACTCGGGGGACTAGCCTCAGACACGGTGATATTGCCTTTGTTCATCGAGCTCCCTACTTCATCGTAAATACTTGATGGTACCTTCACATGAATCAACACAATGCACCAAAGATGACTTGGCCCAACCAAATTTATAAATACAAATCATCATTTTAATATAGTGTAAACAGGTTGAATCATTTACCACTATTACAAAGTGACCATTTAGGTTCATCTAGTTATATTTTTTAGTTCAAATTTGCTCTTTGGAATGTCCTCACTCTTAGTAGCATATTGAAAAGAAAAAAAGAATACTCTGTACATAAATTTTGCTGTCCTTTTAACATGTTCTTTATCAAAGTACCAAACCAAACAAAACTATAGCTAAGAAGACTCAATTTTATATAATGTTGAAATTGAATATACAAGTTTATGCTCTAATATGTTTTGAAGTTGAATTCACAATTTCTTGTGCAATGTTAGTTAATCCTCCAAAGTCACTTAATAGTTGGTTGACTAACCATACTTACATTTAACGTTTAATTAACTCAATTTGCCTTGTTTTATTCTTTAGTTAATGCTGGCTAATACAGCATAACTTTTAATGCATTTACAAATTTCTAATACTTCATTGTAATGTTTGACAAAACAGTGGTGATTGATATTTCCTCAAAAAAAAAACAAACAGTGGTGATTGATAGATCTCTAAGCATAATAACCTATATTATCTATATGGCAAATTTTGAAGAATAGACTCATAGTTTAAGACGTTTGGGTAGTGATGAGAATTTAAAATAACGAACGTGTTATGGAAACGAACCTGAGAGATCCAATGGACGGCATAATTGGAGTGAACCAAATGCAAGCCATCTCGAGGGAAGATCCGATTGAAGAACGAGCCAGGAGCACCCATGACAAAACACTGAAGTTAATCTAAGAATAAAAAGTTTCTTGTCAAAAAAATAAATAAATAAATAAATAAAAAGTTGAGAGCACTATTTTAGGAACTATATATGTATAGACGATAATTACTACTCAGCCCTCTAAAATAATTTACAAAATAGTGTACCTGTCAACATGATATTCCTGATTCATATTTTTTCTATATACTACAAGAATTACATCTAATGTGATATTGTGCATTGAACATTAATAAAGATATACACGTAAGATTTATTTTGAAATCTTTTTTTCATCCATATATTTATTGAATTAGATAACACAATTAAAAAATAATTTGTGCGCATCCAAAACAATTTGCTTGTTTTTATTTCCCAAGGTTAAGTTCTTTTCAAAATAAAATAAAATAAAAAAAGGTTAAGTTCTTTTCAACACCATAGACTTGAAAGAGCAACCTTGGACCAATGAAACTACTTGAAATTTCACACAAGACCACAACTTTGAAATTATTTTACATTACTTTGCATTAAAAAAAAAATAAAAAAAGATGAAAAAAAGATGATACTTGGACTATAGAGTTGCGAGCATAGCTGAATTCACCGTCACCTTCCTTCATGCAAGGAATTTATTTTATCTCCATTGCAAAACACACCTTTTTTTTATGAGAAAAAATATAAGTTTCTAACCAAGGGCAAAGGGTTGTGTATGTATTTTAAAGTGAGCAAGTAGGGGTATTTAAGTAATTAACATTATTTGGCTTTAACATTGAATAACCATGTTTGTACTTTGCAAGGTTTTGCTTTTATTAAAATATAATTAATGATATTGATGTTATAAAATAAGCATAAAACTCCTAACATTGTAATTTTTTTTTTTTGTTTTGAACAATCCTAACATTGTAATTAAAAAAATAGAGAAAGTATAATAAGGAGTTTACTTGTCAATACTCGTACTCCTATAGTCGTATGACATATCAAAACCGCAACTGTAATGGATATGCCTTCAGCCTCATGGATCGATTTGGTAACCAAAGTACAATAATATGGGTCGGCCCAAAAACCAATGTACATTCTAAGCCTTTTAAGCAATTAAGCTTGGCACATTGGGTTATGCACACACAATTGACACAACTATACAAAAAGATTTAACAATAAATTTTCTTTAAAATTGATTACTTAATTTACTTGGTGTCCCTTACACAAATACAAATAGTACAAATATGCAAATGACTACGATAGTTAAACACATTTATTATAATTACGGAATAACATACAAATGAAACTATGGAAGAAGATTACATAATTAAACACTAATTTTATATGATTTATATTATAATAATCATGATTGAACCCATTTAAGCAGCAGAGATGCGAATTGACTTAACTTGAGGCTTCTTCTCCTCAACTTTAGGAACAGTAACAGTAAGAACACCATTCTCCATGTTGGCCTTGATCTCCTCCATCTTGACACGGTGCCACTTGTCATTCTTCTCCTCTTGTTCCCTGTTTCTCTCTCCGCTGATCTGGACCACCTTCCCATCTTCCACCTGAACCTTGACCTCCTCCTTCTTCAAGCCGGATAAATACGCCTTGAATACATGGGCCTCCGGAGTCTCTTTCCAGTCAATTCGGGTGTTCACAAATGCAGCGGTATCGGTGTCGCCACCGGTGGAGGTGAGTGATCGAGAGGTGTTATTGTTCAAGGGAAAATCATGGAAAGGGTCAAATAAATCAAGAGAGAATGGGTCGAAGACATTGCTTCGTCGGTTTCCGAAAAAGCTTGGAATCAGCGACATTTTTATTTGATTTTGGTTTTGTATAAGTGTTTGATTTTATGTGGGATTGATTGTTTCGATTTGTAAGGAGATTTATGAACTTGTTTTTTATGATAAGGGAAACATGAGAATGGGAATTTATAGAAAGTGAGGGCGATAATGGAAGTATCTAGAACATTCTTAGTAATTGCGGTTTCTTAATGATGGCGGGAAAAAACAGAGGTGAAAGAAGAATACAGAGTAATGGAGATAAGAGCACTCACAGCAGTGAGGAGAAAAGCCCTCACGAGTAAAAATAAGGGTGTAAAAAAAATACCCAAGCATTACGTTAGTGAGGGAAAAAACCCTCACCGTTGAGAGCTATGGAAAACGCACAAGAGTTGAGGGGAAATACTCGTGAACAGTAACAAGTGGGCCCCACTCGTACACGCGTGTTCGCTTTTTTTTTTCCCTTCTGGCTTGCAAAACGACGTCGTTTTGCCTTAAAGAAGGGCGAAACGACGCCGTTTTGAGGGGCAAAAAGGGGAAAAAAAATAGGGGGCAGCTGGCCTGACGCGCGTCAGACCCAGCCAATGGGGATGCGACACGCGTCAGGCTTTATCCTTCCAACCAATCAGATTTTTTTGCTTTTATTACAACGGTTATATTTTTGTAAGTTAAATATAACCGTTGTAATTATAAAAAAAAAAAAACAAAATTCACCAACGGATAGATTTTTTTTTCTCTATAAATAGACATGCATTTTGATATATTTTGATATACTTTCAAAAAACCTATAAATACTACAAATTTCCTTCTTTTCCCAATTTCTTTGAGTTATTTTCATCATTTTTATTATTATTATTATTCGTAAAAAAAAAAAAAAAACCTCAGTTATTATTTAGTATTATTATTATTATTTTTATTATTATTATAATTATTATTATTATTACTAGTAGTAGTAGTAGTAGTAGTGTTAATTTAAAAAAGTGGTAGTTTTATTGGTATTCTTATAATTATTATTATTATTATTATTATTATTATTATTATTATTATTATTTCTGTTAAAATTATTAATCCTTGAAAAAAATCGTATTATTATATTGTCAAAAAAAAGTAGTAGTATTATTATTGTTGTTGTTGTTATTATTATTATTATTATTATTATTATTATTATTATTATTATTATTATTATTATTATTATTGTTATTGTTATTATTATTATTATTATCATTATTATTATTATTATCATCATCATTATTATTATTATTATTATTATTATTTTGCTAATGGATCCTAACAAACCAGATTTTTCTAATTATTTTTCTGATTTGGGTGATGATTTTGTCACTAACCCTCGATTTCAAACCTTCCTTCAACGAATAGCTACTCAATATCCACCGCAACAAACACCTCCTCAATTTCCACCACAACAAACACCTCCTCAATTTCCACCACCACATTCACCTCCTGTTTATCAAGGGAGCAATTCTCAATATGAAGATGAAATGGAAGAAAGTGTTCCAGATACTCCACAATACCCTCCACCTCCTCCAAGAGTGTCTGTCAATCAAAACCAACCACTTACAAAAGGGAGTCGAATGTGGTCTGTTGCGGAGGATGAAACTCTTATTGGTTTGTATCTGCAATTCAGTGAAGATGCAATTGTTGGTACAAACCAAAAAGCATCTGTGCTTTGGAGAAAAATTTCAGCGGCATATGATGAAGCGCAGGCTGAGAAACCTCACATTCTACCACCAAGACCTTTGAGGAGTTTGGAAAGTCGTTGGAGAAGGATGGCAGCTGATTTAATACAATGGAGTAGCTGCTATGACGAAGCAGGAAGGGTTACAGGAAGTGGCTACAACGAAGCAGATCGAATTAATAACGCCAGTAAGTTATTCTATGCTTCCTCCAAGCCTACTCAACATAATTTTAATTGTCACCATGGTTGGGAAATGGTTAAAAATGACCCAAAGTGGAGGACAAAACTTAGGTGGGCGTTGTCAAGAGAGGAAAGATTAGCTGTAGGTGATGCCGTCGAAGATGATAGTAGTGGCAGTGATAAGCGATGTAGAACCGTAGAGGAAGGTGATACACCATCCACGGGTTTCTGTTCTGGAGGTCTTCCTCGACCCGATGGTGTTAAAAAGGCAAAGGCCAAGCGTAATAAGGGAAAAGAAGTGGCTTCTGATTCTTCAACCATTGGTGAGCAAATGAAGCAGAATAATGCCTGTAGGGAAACAGAGGCACAAATACGGTTGAAGAAGTTGGATTTTGACATGGAAAGGGAGAGGAGGAAACAAAAACAAGTCGAAATTCAACAAAAACAAGTTGACATACAAGAGAGAAGGCTGAACTATGAAATGCTGCAAGATCTACTTTCAAAGGGTACTGATCTAACTCCCGATGAAGAGGCCTACAAGGAGGAATTACGTGCAATGCTATATGGTAAAAGGCACGTGTGACTTGGAGATTTGGCTTATGTTTTATTTAGTTAATGTTAACTTTATGTTTTATTCAGTTAATTTAATGTACTAGTGTTTATTTAGTTTATGTTAAATTTATGTTTATGTAATGTTAAATTTATTATTAATATTCAGTTAATTCACATGTTTTCTTAGTAATTTGAAATTGATAAAGCTGATATCTGATAAAGATACAATCTGACACGCGTCACATGTCACCTCTGCTCAAACATCAATAACACTGCACAATCACATGCTAAAGTAATGCACTGAATTGTCACCTCTGCTCAAACATCAATAACACTGCACAATCACATGCTAAAATAATGCATTGAATTGTCACCTCGAGTCACATGCAATTTCAATTCCACTTTAACTCACATGCAAACTTACCACTACCATCCAATAATGACTTTCACATTTTCTATATATACCTGTGTTATTATAAACGGAAACAATCCCAAACACACCAACTACCTAACCAAAATAAAAATGTCTTTCATTTCTTCCACCTCAAGCTCCTCTTCTGATGATTTCTCCAAAAATCATGAATTTGATTGCTTAGTTGATGAGTATGTAGCAAATCACCTACCTCATAGATTACTTCCTCCAGACCAACCACAAGAACCTCCACTAAATAATGAAACTGAACTATCAACGGAGCCCAAAAGGGATAGGGAAAGAGAAAAAGGGCATGTGCAACTATACAACGATTATTTCGCGAATAATCCAGTGTATAACGACAACCAATTCCGACGTAGATTCCGTATGCAACGGTCATTGTTCTGCCGCATTATGAGCAAAGTGGTTGAGGGGGATCAATTCTTCCAGCAACGTCGAAAAGCAGCTGGGAAGCTTGGTTTATCACCGTTGCAGAAATGCACCGCTGCAATAAGAATGTTAGCGTATGGCGTAGCCGCAGACGCTGTGGATGAATATTTACGTCTCGGCCAAACAACCTCTAGGCAGGCATTGCAACATTTCTGTCAAGGGGTTATTTCACAATTTGAAAGTGAATATCTACGAAAACCTACAGATGAAGATTTAAGGAGAATCCTTCATCAAAATGATCTGCGTGGTTTTCCAGGGATGATTGGTAGTATAGACTGCATGCATTGGGAGTGGAAGAATTGTCCTACTGCTTGGAAGGCACAATATGCTGGTCGTAGCAAGAGTGCAACTCTCATTCTTGAAGCTGTTGCTGATCAAGATCTATGGATTTGGCATGCGTTCTTTGGAATGCCTGGGTCATGTAACGATTTGAATGTCCTTTACCGTTCACCGGTATTTGATGATGTTTTACAAGGTCATGCACCACCCATAAATTTTACGGTTAATGGACATCAATATGAGTTGGGCTACTACTTGGCCGATGGGATTTACCCGAGATGGCCAACTTTTATACAGGGTATAACACATCCTCATGTTAGAAAAGACAAGTTGTTTGCTGATCAACAAGCAGCAGTTCGGAAAGACGTCGAACGGGCTTTCGGAGTTTTACAAGCTAGGTTCGCTATACTACGACAACCAGCACTTGCATACGACGAAGATATTCTCTGTGATATTATGAAAGCCTGTATAATAATGCACAACATGATCGTCGAGGATGAACGACACAACTACGCACGTGCAGATGTTTTGAGACGATACTACGAAGAAGATCGACCACAACGTACGGTGAGGCGGGCAGACCCGAGCACAAGTGCCACGGTGTTTAACAACGAGCCATTTGAATTCAATGTCGGGCGACCACCCAACATTGATTTCAACACGTATTTGGAGAGAAGGATTTCCCTTCGTGATAGAGAAATTCATTCATCTCTGAAACAAGATTTAGTGGAGCACATATGGCAGAACTTTCGTCATAATGCGGTTGAATAAATAATTTTTTAGTTTGTTATTTGTAACCGTATCGTTATTTATGTTTTAATACTCGTGTTTGTATTTTATTTTAGTAGAACCACTTTTATCTAGTTCGTACTTGTACCGTTATTTAACATCCCATGTGTTTGTATTACCGTTATTGAAGTTCCCATGTGACTATTTAATGTGTTCATTACAAAAATGTGCTACTAATTCAAATGTTAAATTATAAATAAAACGTAATTGAAAAATAAATAAAAATTATTAATTATACTTAAAACGTAATTGACAAATAAAAAACAATCTTATTAAGTTATAATTGAAACGTAATTGAAAAATAAATATAAAAATTATAAATTTTTATTATATTATTTTTAAACGTAATTGAAAAGTAAATATAAAACTTATAAATTGTTATTAAATTATACATTTTTATTAAATTATTTTTAAATGTAATTAAAAAATAAATTATTTTCACATATTTTAATTGTATTGGAAAATTAAATATGTAGTATAAACATTATTTCAAAATAAAGATAAAATAAAAAGATGATGTGTATTATGGTGGGGTATAGTAAATAGTGGAGGAAAAAGTGATGAGAGGTTTTTTTTTCTCCTCATTGATGTAGTGAAAAAAACATTTGATGAGAGAAATTGTATGGGAAGAGTGAGAAAGTGGGTAGAGAGAGATTGAGAGGTTTTTTTTTTCCTCACTGCTGATAGTGGTCTAAGTGTAGGATTCTAGTATATTCCAGAAATTTTGCATTTTACCGGCCTTTAAATATGGAAGCCCGATGCATATTGGGCCTTGCTTATTAGGCCCAATTTTGGATTTCTAACTTTTAGACTTTTACATTCTAATTTTAAATTTTTGTTAACAGATAGATAAAATATTAAGAAGTAAAAAAATAATGGTTTGAAATAATCCAAAACTTTGAAATATACGTTGATACAATGATACATAAGCAATAATTTAAAATCGAGACATAAGCTGGTTTTCAACATTCTCTCATCTAGTTCTTGAAAAACATAATTTTTTTTGGTTTTGTTTTTGAGCCATAAGCTTTCAAAACATAAAATATTATCACATAATATGATAGTAGTAACATTTTTATTTAATACAAAGTA